TGATATCTAAGCACTTTTAGAAGAATTTGTGTAAAGAAATGTTGTATATATCATGGAGATATACAACTTTCATGTTGAAAGTTTCTTCTGAATCATCTCGCATCATGGTGAAAAATTTGCTCAAAGTTGTGAAAAAATCATGAAGTTTTCAACATTTAGAAAAATTTCTAAGTTTGAAAACTTTGACTTTTCAAAATGAAATCTTGAATTTTTTGATTTATTGATGAATAAGTTTAATATTTTTACATGTTTTGATGAATTGTGATCTTTGACATTTGATTTTGACCAAAAAGTCAAAGTTTGACTTTTCAGTGTATAGTTGACTTTTGATCAGTTGACTGAAAATTCACTTATCAATCCAATTGATCTTGAGAAATGTTTTGGGTCATGTAATTAGGTCAAAATTATGCAATTGAACTCTTGAGATCATGCCTCAAACCAATTAACCATTTTCTAGGACAAAAATCAGAAATTTCCCTTTCTCAGTCAAAACCCTAATTTTAACCATTTTGCTCTTTTGATGATTTGATCAAATTTCTTGAGGAATTATGGTCCAAACTTGATCAAATGATATATATGAGTTTATAATGTTTACGTGGATCAAAAATTATGAAGTTTGACTGTAAGTTGACCATAGTTGACTTTTTTCCCCAATACAGCTGATTTTTAGGTCAAGTGCGCAATTGACTGAGCAAAAATGTGATCCAAGGTTTGAAACTTGACATGAGTAATATTGGGGGTCCATAATGATCCATTAAAGTCACATGAAGCATTGAAAGTTCAATTATACTTGTGCAATCTCAAACCCTAATTTTAGTCAACAGTGCTTAAGGAGGTGTCTTGAGTTGATCAACCCTAGTGCAGTCTTGAACTAAGAGAGATCTTTGTGAGAAAATATTTGATAAGTGAGAGGGAAAATTTTGGGGTACAACAGTGGGGAAACTAGCTTCTCCCATAAAATATATTCCCTCTAGATTCTGAACATAGAAAACCTCCATATGGTCAAGAGTTTAGAAACACAAGAAGTCGCGATTGTCTTCTCAGAGAAAGATGTGGTTGGCGTCCATCCCCATAACGATGACCCCATGGTCATGGTATACAAGCACAAGGATTAGGAGATTAATAGATTTCTGGTAGATCAAGGAAGTTCCACTGACTTACTATATTGTAACGCGTTCGAGAAATTGCATCTCAATCCTGAGACTTGAAGCCTTTCAAAGGGTCACTGGTCGGATCTTGTTTGGAGAGCAAGATCAGGCCAAATAAATAAAGGTTACATATATAGTAATTTATTCCCCTATTCGTATAATATGATAATTGGGAGACCACCATTTAACCGATTGGAAGCCGTTTTATCTACTTTATATTTATGCATGAAGTATCTATTCTCATATGGGCGAGTAGAAGTTGTCTAAGGGGATTAAGAGATTGGTAGGAAATGTTACATAGAAAACCTCAAGTTAAAGAGGGCTCACTTTCTGGGCATAAGGGTAAAGAAGTCCATATCAGGGATAACACCGTCCGATGAGGCGGGAAAGAGCGAGGAAGCTTCCCATCCTACCTCGTGAGACGATGAAGCCTAAAAGAAAGAGGGGATCCTTGTTGCACATAGTGGCAAATACATGAACTAGATCCCTAAGATGGGATCCTTTCCGCCCATAAAGGAAAACACATGTGTTGGATCCCTAATATGGGATCCTTGTCTCCCATAGAGGCTATTACACGCGTTGGATCCTTAAGATGAGATATTTTCTACCCATAGAGGAAAATACACGTGTTGGATCCCTAAGATGGGATCTTTGCCTCCCATATAGGCAAATAGATTCATTGGATCCCCAAGATTGGATCCTTTCCGCCCATAGAGGCATTTACATGTGTTGTATCCTCAAGATGGTATCCTTACTTCCCATATAGGAAAATACATGCACTATATCCATAAAATGGGGCCCTTGCCTCCATAGAGGCAAATACGTGCGTTGGATCTCCGAGTTGGGATCCTTGCCGCCCATAGAAGCAAATACATGTGTTGGATCCCTAAGATATGATTCTTGTCGTCCATAGAGGAAATGACATGTGTTGGATCCTCAATATGGGATCCTTACCACACATAAAGGAAAATACATGTGCTAAATTCCTAAGATGGGATCCTGACCACCCATTGTTTACTGGTGTTTTTAGTAAACAATCACAAGTTTAATTTACTTAAGAGATTAATTCAAAAAAAATCAAGGATAATTTGTGCAAAAAAAGATACAATAAAAAATATTTGGGAATTGGATTTAAATGCTTGTATAAAGACAAAATGGAAATAAACTTTAACTATAATAAACCTTGGATAAAGATAATAAATTAAAAGTACAATAAGCGACATTAAAGTAAGATGTTTCAATTAAGGAAACATGCAAAAAATTAAAAGACAAGGATGTAGACTAATATATTTCTCATAATTGTTTCGCTCCGTAACTTGGGTACTTCAACTCTATATAGAATAAATGAGATTTTGCGACCTTTGAAATTTCTCTGGTACATGCAACAAATGTTACAACATATGGTAACAAAGTCGACTTATCAAGCTGATACTGAAAATAAAACTGCAGAATAATAACTAACACAAAGAGTTATTAATCCAGTTCGGTGCAACATCACCTATTCTGGGGGCTACCAAGCCAGAAAGGAAGTCCACTATTAGCAGTATTAGTTTAAAGCCTAAACAGTCCCAGTTTATAACTTCTCTCCTAATCCCTACCCAATGCAAATTCTACCTAGGAACCTCCTAAATATGAGAAATCACCATCTCACTTCCTAAATTACCTTAGTGATATCTAACATTCCAAATCCTAGGGACTGTATCAAGAACAACCCAATTTAGAACATTACACTTCAAATGCAAAACTCAAACTTTCTTGCTTAAAAGTTTCAAGAGTAAGAATAATAACTTGACAAATTATTAAGTAACAACCAGTCTACCACATAGTATCAAAAGATACATGGGTGACTTACAAAATACACAAGAGACTCTCAAAACCTACGTCTCTAACACATCCCTTAATTTTACAATTCATGAAAAAGTTAAATTACATTAGGTTAGGATTTCCCTTTAAATACACCTCTGTAGTCCATGGGCTTATGATTCTGAGTCCATAAGTTTCTTGATCCACAAGTTGAGTGATGCACCTATTGTGCAGTAAATCTCCTTCAATCTTAGAACAAACAGTACAAAGTTTCCTAATTTGTATCAAGGCCTAATATTAGTAACTTGTGTACAGTTGGAAATATAAAAAGTGTTTCAAAACAAAGCTTCTTGACCAGTGAAATTTACTGAGATATATCTCAAAAGTAATATCATAGAATCCAATTAAATCTATCAAGATTTAAAAACAACATCGCATGCCTGCTGCATAACAGAACAAGATGTCACAACATCTGTCCAGAACTATGTTTTAGCAAAAGTTGTCAATCCCAAAACCATGGTACTAATAACCCTGATTACATGCATGAGCCTGTAATTTATATTGCTCTAATGATAACCGTTGACAATGGTAATTTCCTCAACAATCAACATGTATCTCTTTACGTATGCTTTAGACTCCTGATTTGCTTGCACGTGTCTTCATTGGTTAAAAACCACTACTACTATTCGTCATGATGGTAACCGCCTTTAAACTTCCTAACTGCCTTTAAGAATCTCTAATTAACTTCTCTAGCAATGTCGAGACATCCTCTTCTTAATTGACTTTTAGACTAAAAATTTGCTAAGTCATAGACATCTGGTGAATGTGTCGAACCTAACCAATTGTCGAAACCCCTTTTCGAGATTTTGGATATGCTTTAAAAAGAGAGTGATCCTAATCTTGTGGATATATTCCCGAGTCTCCTCCAAACCCAAACTAACATGTTAATCGAACTCTTCAATCGAAGTGACTAGTATGTCGAAGTCTTAATCTCTCCATACTTAGTTAATTTTCAACACATTGATATCATCCTTCTGTCGAATCCTTTATCTAGGATTTTTAGGCTAACACCTATAAAGACAATTACATGTGATGAATCTCTAAGATGAGATCCTTGCCGCTCATAGACGCAATTACATGTGATGGATCCTCAAGATGGGATCATTGTCACCCATAGAGGCAATTACACGCGTTGAATCCTCAATATGGAATCCTTACTTCCCATAGAGGCAAATACATGCTCTGGATCCCCAAGATGGGATCCTTAATGTCCATAGAAGAAATTACATATGTTGGATCCTTAAAATGGTATCATTGTCTCCCATATGAGTTGCTTATTTTAGACACTGATTTAATATTCAGTTCGATTTTAATTACTTTAATATATGTATATGTACTTGAATATATAAGATAAACAACTCATATGTTCTTAATTAGTTTTATTAAAAAAATTAGACATGCTTAGAGTTACAAAAAGAAATATATCTCTAGCCCAAATCCACTTGTATGTTTAACCCCTAAAATACTAAAGTTAAAATTTTCCAAAACCTTTCATTAGTAAAACGCAGTCGCAACCTCATCTTTGTTCTCTTTTCATCATCTCTATTCCTTTTCATTTTAATTTTTACCGTGATGATATATTATTGATTTTTTGTGATAGCATACTCGTGATTCTTTTCTCAACAATCTTGTTATGATTAAAGATTTCCACTTTCAACCTGTTTATTCTCTAACTTGTAACAAAACCAGTAATTTTCTTCAGTTTTAAAAATAAAAAAAATCAAAATCCGGTTCAACCAACCGAAGTGACTAGACCACCGGTTTTCCAAGTTTTCAGCCGGCTAAACGGTTTGTTTCCCAGTTTTGAAGCAGATCGGTTTTCAGACGTAAATGGACTGGATACTGGTCCGGTTCCCGGTTGAACCGGCCGGTCTGGTCCGGCTTTCATTACCATGATATATATTGTCGATCAACAGTGACATTTTTTTCCCTGAATAACATTATGTAATCTCCTCGTCGCGATAAACCCTACTATTCACCTCTTTCGACATGTCTAGCTGCACCAACTGCAGCGGCACCTCTCTTTTCCGCGATGACGACACCGGTGGACTGTTCTGTTCCTCCTGCGGCGCTGTTCAACCCTTCGACCAATACGAATCCTTCTTCAACGGCATCAACGGCCCACAAGGAACCTTCGTCCACATCGGAACCTCAGGTTCAGGTAACATCTACTCTTACAAAGAGAGAAAACTATTCGCCGCGCGTAATTCCATTGAAGAGTTCACAAATAGGTTAGGGTTATCTTCCAAAACAATGGAAATCAAAACCATGATTTCCGATATTACCGAAGGCGAATTCGGTCAGGGAAACTGGTTTCAGGTTCTGATTGGGGCCTGTTGTTATGTGGTTATGCGGAAGGGTGGTCGATCTTTACCTATGGCGGAAATTGCTAATGCTCTTGATTGTGATGTTTATGAGCTTGGAAAAATGATTGTTAGGGTTATTGATTTTTTGGATTTGAGAGGGAATGAGTTTCCGGAGTTTGATATTGTGTATTCATTGGAAAGGACTATTAATAGTTCTTGTTGTTTTGATGATGTTGATAGGAGTTTGGTTGATAAAATGAAGAAGCAGGGGGTGTTTTTGTTGCAGTGTGCTGTGAAGTTGTTCTTGAGTACTGGTCGTAGGCCGCTTCCTTTGGTTGTTGCGATTTTGGTTTTGGTTGCTGAGATTAACCAGGTTGAAATTCTTATCGAGGATTTGGCTAAGGAGGTTCATGTCGTTGTTTCCACTTGCAGAACTAGGTATAAAGAGCTTCTTGAGACGCTTGTGAATGTTGCTCAAGTGTTGCCTTGGGGGAAAGATATAACTAAGAAGAATATTGTTAAGAATGCTCCGATTGTGATTCAGTATATGGAGAAGAAGTCTATGTCAAAACCTGTTGAGAAGAGGAAGGATGTTGATCAAACTAGGTTTGATTTGGAAGATGTGGTTGCTGAGTGCTTGGCTCAAGAGAATGGATATGAGTATGGGGTTGAAGGATTAGTTTCGCAAAAAGATTCTCAGTATCTTTCATTGCAAGGTAATGCGGATAGAGAAGGCATCAGGGATGTTGATATGCTGCAGATTTCACCTGAATGTTTATCATTGATGTATGAGAAGTTTTTAAATGACAATCGTGGTGCTATGTTGTCAAGGAGTGCAAATGTTCAGAAACGGAGAAGGGTGGAATTTGATTTTCACGAGTGTAGGGAGTGGTGGGATGGAGAATCAGAACTGAGCAGAAAGGTTATACTGAGAAAGTTACTAGAGAAGGATATTGGGGCGGAAATCATGCCACCATCATTTGTTAATGGTCAATTGAAATGTAAAATAAGGCGAGAGAGGATAAAGGCTGCAAGAAAGCGAATAAAAAGAATAACTCATCCATTACACGCTGATCTTGATGAGACTGTAACTCCTGGCATTTTAGATAGCACTTGCACTGAGAAAAGGAAGAAGAGAAGAGGGGTGGTAGTTGATGGTATTGATTGGGAAGATTTGATTATTGAGACACTTATTCTTCATCAAGTAAAGGAAGAAGAAATTGAGAAGGGGCATTACAATACCTTACTAGGCCTACACGTGTTTAACCCCGGCGTTGCATAAGAGAGGTTTAAGATATGTTTCAGATTTACTGGTGTTTTAGTGATCTATTGGATACTGATATTTTCTGATTGACAACAATTTTATGATAGAGCAGATATTTTCATACTGCAAATTTTGTCCTCAAACTTTTTATATATTCATTGGTAATGCAAGTTACATCTTTTTGCTTTTAAAAAATTCAACACCTTAATGTGTACTTGGTATCTGGTGACTTTTAAGCTGAGCATCAAACAAATTTATTACCAGGGTACCACTTTTATTAACCGTTTGATAAACTAATAACTAAGTGAGTGGGTTAGATTTTTTTACTAATGTAAGTTTCTGTACATTCAAATTATGTAAAATTACATAGCAGATCTTATTATCAAATAGTTTGGTTTGTTGGACCTAACTTACTTTATAAATGTATGTTCGTGTCATAACAGAAATCTGATAGGAGTTAGCCCAACAAATCTTAGATATGTTCTGATACCATCTTAAAATTTTGTGTTGGTCCTAACTCAATTTTATAAAACCCTTTGTAAAGTGAGAACTTCCACCATTTATAAACATATATTCAAACCATAACGCATCTAATATATTACTCTTAACACAGTCTATAACAGTTTTGAGAACACATAAATATACAAGGATTAACTTGTTGCTGGTTTAGTAAATGTTGTTTAAGATAGTGTGAAAAAAATTTAATGTAACATATAGCAAGTTTGAAGTTTACTTATCTAAGTCTTTACTTTTTACTTTACATTTATTGCTTTCGTTAGATGCAATAAACAAGCTTCTAGAGGAACCAATACCTATGAAATGTTTCAGACCCAAGTATTGATTTGTTCATGTCTTCTCATCTCCAAGCTTCTATAGGAACCGATGCCTATGAAATGTTTCAGACCAAAGTATCAATTTATTCATGTCTTTTGGTTTCTTGTTGTAGTATTTATATTGTATTGATTATTAGTTTAGATTATATAATTGAGATTTTGGTGGCACGGTATATATCCTTGTTGAAGGCTGTGAACCCAAATGCTGAAGACTTGTGGAGAGATATAAAGATAAGCAGATTTTCATTTCAGGGTGTCAAGCTGTAAGGTACAAGATATAAGAAAAAATATTTATTTAATTAACTATAAGCTGTTTTTAATTTATTATCATTAACTCTTGAAGATAATTGATGAAAACAAGTTCAAGGTTAATTATAGGAAAATGGAGGGAAAAGCAAATGGTTACGCGCTGGAGACTGAATTGATTGAAATGCTTAATGGAGCGGTTGTTCCAGAAATGTCTGGAATCCACGAACAATGCATCTACAAAGTACTTCCAAGAATTCGCCAAGTTAATCCACAAGCTTATACACCTCAAATTATTTCGATTGGTCCTTTTCACAATCCACATGGTTCAACTAGTGACAACATTCTGCACCAAATGGAAGAACTCAAACTCAAATATCTAAAAAGGTTTCTAAATAGAACAAAGTTATCTGTGGGTGATTTAGTTTTCAAATTTCAAGAGTGGGAAAATAGTATCAGAAGTTGTTATGCAGGGATTTTTAGCTTTAACAGCAATGATTTCTTAAAAATCATTATCATTGATGCATGCTTCATAATTGAACTTTTTCTTAAGTTCTATGAATATCCAAATTGGACGGAAAATGACCCTATATTAGTAAAACCTGGGTTACGTAATGACGTTGCACGTGACTTAATGCTCCTTGAAAATCAGTTACCATTTTTTGTTCTTGAAGAGATATACAAATTAGCTAGTATAAACCTTGAATTTCCTTCATTACTTACAATTACTATACATTATTTTACATCATTCAACCTGCAGAAAATAAATCCAGTGGTTTGTCCAACTCCAAAACACTTTGTAGATCTTCTAAGAACATTTTTGATGCCAACACTGCCATGGACATTTGATTCTCTACCAGAAGAAATAATTGGACAAGTAAACAGTGTGAGTCAATTATCAGAAGCAGGATTAAAATTTGAAGTAAGTGAAAGTAAATGCTTAGTTGACTTGAATTTTGATGATAAGGGTGTGTTGAAAATGCCATGCTTTCATGTCGATGATGGAACAGAGTCACTCATGAGGAATATAATAGCATTTGAAGAAAGTCACTTTTCATATCAAGATTCACGTTATATTTGTCAGTACATGAGTATGTTAGATTTTCTTATTAACACAGAAAAAGACGTGAGCATCTTGGTTAACAAGAAAATTATTGTGAATGGAATGGGTGATGCTAATGCAGTGGCTGAAATGGTTAGCAATCTTGCCAAAAATGTTATACTACCTCGACTCAATTCAAAATATTTGTCTGTATGTCATAGGTTAAATTGTTTCTATGAAAACCCTCTCAATAAGTATAAAGCTATATTTGTACATGAGTACTTCAACACTCCTTGGAAAATAGCATCTACTCTAGCTGCTGTATTGCTGCTTTTGTTTACTTTTATCCAGACTGTATGTTCAATCTGCTCACTTTGATAATGTATTGGAAAGAATGACTCTTATTGTCTAACAAGTTACAAGTTGATACAAGATTCATGATTTTCTTTCATACCACTTTGTTTCAATTCACTTCAGATTGTTCTATGTTTATCTCTCGTCCCTTATTCCAAATTTAATATTTTGATGAAGGTGTTGCAGAAATAATAACTGGAACATTCACTAATGCTATTTTCCCACATTTAATAATCACACCACACCTTACTCTCTTGTTCCTTTTCAAGGCTTGTTTTTTAATTAAAAAAAGGTTGGTATCTCTAATTCGAAACTGGAACAAAATCCAATCTAAATTAATCCAACAACAAGCCAATTCCTCGGTTTCATTCAAACCGTTGGTATTCCTACCAAAAACTTCACTATGCTGCACTCTAAACTTATGAACCTCATCGTGATGCTCAATCCAACCACATACAGGTTCTTTTCTTACTCCCATTTCCTTCATTTTCTTCCTAACATCCATTGCTTGGTCCCATAGTCCAGCTGAAGAGTAAATGTTAGACAATAGAACATAATGGCTAGCCACTTTTGGCTCCAACACAAATAGTTGCTTTGCTGCAACTTCGCCAATTTCTAAATTCTGGTGGATCTCGCAAGCTACTCCATGCTTCTACTTTGTTCATATTGGATGGCATTGTCATGATCATCTTATATCCCTCTCCGATCCGGCGGCTTGACCTGCCGAGCAAGTCTACAAGACAGCCATAATGGTCAGATGTGGGCTGAATCCCATGTTTAGTTAAGCAATTCGCATCTACTTTGTTCATATTTGATGGCATTGTCATGCTTATGATGTACACTCTTATGCACAATTGACTTAATAAATTATTTTTGAATAAATGTTTAATTAAGCAATTTGCCAAATGCATGCTCAATTCAAACACGCTTAGGATGGAGTATCTCTTGTGTCTTGGATCTCAAATGATATATATGCTGGACTCTAAACACTTAAGAAAACTACTTTTTGAAAGGAAATTGGTGAAAATTTTTATTATCAAGGGCTATTAGTGTCTTCTTAAGTATTCTCTCCGTTTCAAAATGAATGTCGTTTAAGGTTTTTGTACATAAATTAAGAAATACAATGATATTGTCATAAGACATTACACTTTTACGAAATTAATCCTATTAATATATTAGAAGTAGTGTAGAGAGTAAAAAATAAAAAACACAGTTGAAAAAATAGTAATAATTATTATATTGAAAAGTGAAAATAACAATTATTTTAAAACAAATTTTATTTGCTAATTGAAACGGAGAAAGTACTTGTATATTATGCTAGTGTCTCATTCTCCATTTTACAGTGTTGAGAGCACCTGGAATGGATATCACAAAGTTTGTTTGAAAAAATAGTATAAAGTTGTAGATGATATTATAGACTGAGAATGGAACAACCTTTCCTGGGATGAAGGAGCTGAAGCATCACGGTGATTATCATTTATCAGATGATTTTAAAAAAAACCTAGTAAACTTGTCGGTTTCAATACTGATAATATATATTAGTTCAATCATAGTAAAAATTGGGAAATTGGGTAGCAAGTAGTCCGACAAATATTAGATATATTTTGATACTATACATTAGAATTTCGAATTGAGTGTTTATTTTTAATTGTGTATTATATAGTTATGTATCATATCTTGGTTTGATAAAACAGAGAATTTATTCACTGTTTAGTTAAACTGTCAAACATAATTATTTCAATTTAGTCCATTTACTAATTACATAGATTTCAATTTAGTCCCTTTTATTTATTACACTGATTCCAGTTAAGTCCATTATCTATTAAATACAACATTTCTAATCCTTTACTTAATATCTTTTGTTTTATCATGTTTACTGTACTGCAATATTACAAAACATAATTGATTACACATAACATCAGAAATATCTTTGTTATAGCAGAAATAATAAAATAGAGCATAACACATATAGGTTTGATCAACCAATTTCATTTAACCAACAAAGAGATTACATAGTTCATAAAATAAAATAACGTATTGTTTTTAACCCTATTTGAAATACATCCTTAAATTAATAATCTCAAACACCATTGAAATTTTCAACCTCCCTTTTTTATAGACAACTTCATTCTTCAACTTGAATATTTTCTTCCTTTGTCTTTTAATCTTCAAATCTCTTCCATCAATAACTTCATCACCTATCCATTTGAAAAAATTACATCCCTTCTCCATTTGATTTATGTAATTCCAGTAATCTAAATTTTTTCTCTCAATATTCACACTGTTCAAATCTATAATGGTACGAATAACACACTCTTCATGGCACCAACACCCCTCCTCCTGTTTCTTATGACCATAGATTCAAATGTCCCATAACATTGGTTGTTCGATTTTGAATAGGTCTTGAAATTAATTGTCATTTTAGCAGAAATTATGAAGATGATGGTTTGGATGAAGAGGAATCTTGAAGAATTTGGAAGGATAAGGACTAAGGAAGAAGATTGTTAGTTCTCTTGTTTTAGGATTGACTTATTTTTTGTAAAACAAATAATAACAGCAATAATATAATGTAGAATAGGATGTATAAACCTGCTAAGAAGAACAAGTACAATAAGAAGTCCTATTACAATGTCAGAACATGTTGTGTTGAACTTTTTCAACAACTGAAACAACATGTCGAAGAAGATGTCTTGACATCGCGCCTGCTGAGCTGATTAATGAGATCCAATTTGTTCTTAATATAAGCAGGATATTCAGGAGAATATTATGCATCATATGTGGCGCATATTTAAATATCTAGAAAATTCAATCAGAAATCAAGGAGAACGAATACTTTCTAAATAAGGAGATTATTTAGGAAAGAAAAGATTGAAGACCTTTCTTGGAGCAGAAGTTTTTGCAGTTTGTTACGGCTGATTTGCTATGATTGAAGGCCCAAAACCAGTTGAGTAACAGGTTATAAACAGAAGGGTTTGTAATCTAGAAAAGATACGACTCAAGATGTAGAAGTCTAGGGTTTGTCAAGGTAAACCTCCTGGATTGTGAGAAGGTTACCAAGTTCACTTTAAAGCCTGTAGGTAAGAGGTGTATTGTTCTTGGAGGAAGCTTTGAAGCAACTCCAGGATGTGTTCTTAGTTAGGAGTAAAGCTAACAAACAGTGGAGTTTGGCTTGGAAATTTAGCTAGATTGTCATAGAAGTGTGTCTTCTAAATTTCTATCTGTATGATCAGAATCTTGGTGAAGGGCCGTTGATACAGTGATTGAGGTGTTGACTGTTAGACATCATTGCGATGATTGGAAGTGGAATTGGGATGTTCCATATCTAGGGAGGACCTAGGTAAAATGGTCATTGGGTAGTAATTAAGTGCGTAGATCGTCAACAAGAGTGTTGGTTGTAGGGTCTGCAAATTGATACTGATGATAGTGGACTTCATTCCTGGTTTGGTAGCCCTTATAGTAGGTGTTGTTATTCACTGAACTGGGTAAATAATTCTGGTGTGTTCTTTATTTTTTTAGTACTGTTTTATCTTGCCTGTGTATTTATGTCAGATCAGATGTCTCAACATCCTTGTAGGACATCTGAGTCTGCTGTGCCAGAATTTCAATTGGTATCAGAGCAGGCATCCTGTTCTACTCTGGGTGAGACCCTGGGAAGGTAATTTCTGGTCATGGGCAAGGAAGAAAGTATTTACTGAAAAGAGGTATGAACTTGAACAATTCATACTACTGTATGGATAATCCCCTGGCAAGGATCATTGGTTATATGTGATAGGTATTGTTCCTGGATGGTCTGCAGCTTAGTGGGAAGCTGCTGTATGTATGGTTTATTTCTTCAATCCTAGGTTGCCATGCTTGTACTTGGATAGTGGTTTAAACATTGTGTCTGAATATTATTGAGGAGTTCGTTATATTCCTTTACATGGTTTCTGATATAACTCTGAAAGTATGGGAAGGATACCAGGGTTGTTACCCTCAACAAAATATATGCCAACATTTTCAACCGTATTAAAAGTGTCAAATATACTTCAAATTTTCCTCAAGTCCACTCATAAAGACATTTATCAATTAAATTATTTGATCAATGATGCTCATATACATCTACATATATACCTTGAAGACAATCAAGGACGGTGTGTTCCAAGAATAAGGAACGGGTGTTCTATGGGATGTTAGAACATTATTTCAGCAGGCATGCAACTACCAGTTGAAGAACAAATACTTTGGATGATGAACAAAAATGTTATGAATACTTTTTGGTTTGGAACCTACTCCTGATCTGGAAGAGGAGGTATCTAGTGTGTGGAGGTTGATTAGGACATGATCAATAGTCTATCTACTCCGTGTGTCAGTTTGAGCTCCATGCTCTTGAGAAGAACTCATAAAGGAATCTCCACCAGACCCTTTATGTATATGAGATGAGCTCGTATCTGGAAGATCCTTCTAATCAAAGGAACCAGACTCATGGAATCCTGTTTGTGGCCATAAAATAGATTATGTTTGAAGAGGAGTTTTGTGATCCAACCACAATGTTTGATGCTCTTGAGTATTGCTTTAATTGACCTTAAGGAGGAGAATTGGTTATTCTCTTTGTGTATCCTCAGAAGTTGTTTGGAAAAGATCCCCTTGTCAAGGGTTGATATAATATCAGACATAATGTCATGATATCTTTGAAGATGTTAAAATCTGAAGGGAATTGTTTTTGAAGAACCAAGGGAAACAAATGCTTTTGAAAAGTACAGACAATGGTATCCATCATCTCAAAGTCAGACATGTGGTCTAAAGAAAAGCTTATTGAGATGTGGCTTGTGCAATCCCCTGCATATGTTGATAGTCTGGTCCCGAAGATTGATCAGTTGTTGTTGGTTTGTTTCCTTGTGTTAACCCCCACAAGAGTTGATTATAAGTTACTATGGAGGTTACCCCTAAAAACCATAGTAAGAATGGATGATGTCATATCTAATGTCAGGACATCATCTCTAGGTGTGTGTTCCCTCTAAAAAGGAAGTTGTTGTGTAGATCATGTT